GCCAATTCAGCGAGCTGGCTCCAACACACCACTGGATGTCCCTACATTTAAACCAGGAGAATGCAATTGATTTTCCTAAACTAAAAAGTAAAACAACAACAACAACAACAACAACAACAAAAAACTATGTTTTTTATACAGGAAGAATGTGATGATTTGATTACATATGTCTAATTGTAGTTTTTCAAATAAAATGCCAGTGATGTGCTGAAAGAGCATATTCTTAAATGTATTTCATGTGTATCAGGCTGAATTCCACCCTACTAGTCTCCATCACTTTGGTTAGGTATATTTTTTTTGTGTACTTTTCAGAACAGGTTGTACATACAATAGTGCAAATACTTGAAACAGCAAAGTTTTCTGCTTGGTATTGAAGCAGGCCTCTACTTAGGAATTCATTCTGGAAGCTTTGACAATAAGTATGTTCTGAAGTGATTGCTACAGAGTCTAACAGAGAAATTATGTAGGGATAAATGGAGTTCTAAAATACCCTGACCCCAGACAAAGACATATCAAGGAAAGAATTACAGATTAGGTTCTTAAAATACACATCCCAAAGTGTTCAAACTATGGGTCTAAGATACCATTCAAGCATCTCTCACAAGCCGCTATTCCCTTTCATCTCCCAGCACGCTGAAGATCTTTACCTGGAGGATTAATCATGGAGCTTTTGAAGAGATACAAAGGGAGGGCTGGAGGTGGAGTAGGAAATTACAATGCTGCATGGGTGAAGTACTTAAGAATAAAATAGTCATAGATTAAATCTGAGATAGGGGTTGAAGATTTACATAGTGATATTTTAAGAGTTTAGTCATTAAAGTAGGAGTTAAAGTCTGGTTTTATTCATTTACTTTTATTTCGGAAAGGGAGACAGCAACCATACATTATTCAAGAAATATATGGCTAAGAAATTGGAAAAAAAAATAAAGGACAATGCTGAGAAGTGATTGGATGTGGTAACAGGAGTGGGGTTAGATCCTTAATCTCAGAAAGAAAAAGAAGAAAAACCTGGGTTGCAAAATCTTTGCGAAATAGAGTCAAGTCCAAGCTGTGGAAGCTAAATTAAATTTCCTAGAATAAGGCAGTAGAATCCAGTAAGATAGAACCCAGAGGCGATCAGAATGCCAAGTCTCCTACTTACAAATGGCTGCCTAATGTATTTTACAGATACATGAGAAATGGAAGTAAAAGCTAATTTAATTGTTCAACAATGTGGTGCAGATGATGAAATCTAAGCACTTAATTTGGAAAAGAGTATAGAATTAAGATGACTGCATTGATTACTGTGAAGTGTATGACATGTGTGAATGGGCTTGACAGAGAAAGAAAACTGTGCTCTGTAATTTAGAAATCCACAGCTACTTATTTCTTCTAGGAACATGCATTTTATTCATTCAGCTTTTTCCCCCACAGTTGTTTATAGACAATGTTTAAAACATCAACACCATGAATAAAAAAAGACACACTTGAGCATCTTCCCATAAAATTGTATTTGTTCTACAAAAATAATTGTATATATTATTTTTCTCTATTTATAAACCTTATAACTTAGGAGGCTGATTTGCTAAATAAGAACCAGTTTTATAACCAAAATCTACTTGTTTATTCTTATTTTGTTCCCAAAATATTTATTGTGAGGTAAGTCTTCAAGTGTGTATTATATATTTTTTTAGTTGTTTATTTATGTGGTGCTGAGGATTGAACCCAGGGCCTCACACATGTGAGACAAGTGCTCTACCACTGAGCCATAGCCCCAGCCCCTGTATTTTTCTTTTTAGTCCTTTCTCTCTATTAAAGCATCATTGGGAAAAGAGTCATTGAATAAATAATTCCCCTAATTGGAACTCAGCAAAGATTTCCTAGAAAAACAGGAAGAAACGGTAGAAGAGAAATCTGTCTTTATTTTTTAAGATTGTTGGTTCTTAAATTTAAGTGGCAGGAAAGCTACCCAGTTCCAAATCCAGTGAGTGTCCCTTGGCATTTTGCCTGGGCTCCTTAATGAGAATTTGGGAATGTTTGACTTGTCAGATGCTACCTCCCCTCTGCCCTAACTCAAYAGACAGTAACTCCCAGAGGACTATCTCAGGCAAAAATGCAAGGGAGCAAAGTTTGGCTCTCACAATCCTTTAGTTCCTCTTTGGACCCCTCTTTTGTACTACTGATCTTCTGTTGCCCAACTCAAAATAACGGAATCAATGTAGACACATTTGTTTTCTTACTTATCCCAGAGGAATTCATACTTCAAAACAAATGTCATTTCCAATAAGAGTGAAATTTTTAGATTCCTAATGTTTTGGATAACTAATTTTAGATTTTGTACAATTAGACCTAGACAAGTATAGTCAATGATATTTTTTAAATCATAAAAGTTAATATGCTAGAAGAATTTCAATTAAAATATACAAGTTTCTCTCTATTAATTCAGCTCAGATTTTTGAGACAACTGGTCCACATTGCTGTGATATTTTAACTTCATGTACCATGTGTTTCTGAATATTTCAAATGCATTGAGGCTAAGCTCAGTCACTTCAGAATCCTGTTATCCTTCAGCTTGGTATTCATTTGGAAATAGCAATGAAAGCCAAATGTGTTTTGTTTACATCTTTGCCAAAGAGAAAAACTGCATGTTTCCCCTTATTAATAAAAAAACTGACATATGACATCCACTCAGATGGCTGCCTCTCCAACTTCCAACACTAAGCACTATTTTAAAAATAAATCAATACTACAGTGTTCTTTTTGTTTCTGATTTTCTTCTTTAGCTCCTTTAAAAAAAGGCATGGGAGTATCTGTGTACAATTATATCAGCACCTGATATATCACTGCCTGATATGGAGGAAGGCTGCTGTAGGTTTGTGGCTTTCCCTCATGTCCATCACACGTACCATGAGCATATAAGAAGTTCACCACAGTAAATATTTTGGTTCTCAGATAACATTTATATTCTCTCTAAAAACCCCAGAAAAAGATAACCCCCCCCACAAGTACACAGATATTTTCCCCCAATGCCTATAGGAGATAATCAATTAATTTAAGAATAGGAAAAAACAAGATAACACAATCAGTTTTCTAAGTGAACCAGTTACTTAATATCTTTTGTTTTTCTTTTTCCTCAGTTGCAAACATATTTCGATAACTTATCTATTCTACTGGATCTCTGTGAGGATCAAATTAAACATTGTTTGCAAAATGCCTGGTAAATAAAATTCATTAGTGATTGTCAACCTTTACTATTTTTCTACCAAAAATTGAATTTGAAGAAAGACTTCACTCATTGTGTGTGTGGGGGTAGAGTTGGTTTGTAATCGGTTACAAAGGTAGAGAATGGATTTCAGAAACAAACTTGGTAACTATTACTAAATTACTACATGACAAGCTATCATAAATCACAAAATAATGGTGTATTGCTACTGGAAAAACTGAGGGATTTTCACTGAAATATGCCAAAAATACTGGCAAAGGAAATGTAAGTCACTCTCTAGGCTAAATTGTGCCCAGTTTAAGTGATTGCCTTGTAATGCAATTGGGAACAAGACCCATGCATAACTTGCAAAATATATACAATAACATGTTTCAAAACACATATCACACCTCTGCTGGTTGATTTCATAAAAAAATTTAGCTAACACAGGCGGCTTATGGTACTTCAGGCATTGAATGCATACCCTTTTGTAAGTGTGTTGGATTACCTGAAAATATTTCCTTTCTCACTAGATAATGATGGTAGAATATTCCTATGTATTGATAGGGTGATGGACCCACACAAACATAAAGAGCTCTGAGTTGACAAAAGACATTTTCTCAATTTCTGTACTTCTCTCCACTTAATCTCTAAAGTGGCTCAACATCAAGAATCTCTACTTAGATGCCTTCCCAACACCTCTTGAAAACTCAAAAGCCTCTCAAACTCAGTATGTCCAAGAGAGCTCTCATTATCCACCCCACCCACTATCTGTGCATCTTCCTCTGTTGCTTGTCATTTCCTGTCACAGCAAACAATACTATTACCTACGCCGCCCATTCCATTTTGCAACCCAGAAATTGTCATTCCTGACTATCCCTCTCTTCCTTCCAAATTCAGCCCATCATTAAGCACCATTGATTTTACTAATTTTCTCCTATTCCTTTTCTCTTTGTCTCCCCTGCTTCAGACTAACCTAACTGGCCATCACCTGTCTTCTACACTATGGGATGCCTTCTACCTGGCCTAATTGCCTAGGTTCCCTCTTGTCCCAACATGGCCTTCCCTACTCCCAAACTGTTCTCACACATTACAAGAACTGGACTGCATTATTTTAGCACCCCAACCCTGATTTTAAAACTACTGACTTTTGATGTCCTTAAGACGATGAGGAAAAATTACCTTAATATGTTTTTACAAAGCCTAAGCCCTTCTCCTTCATGCTGATTGACCGTTCTCACCTCTGCTCCAGTCAAATAAACCTTGTGTGCTCACTGATCCCTCTCAGCACAAGGCATCTCTGGCTTTCCTAAAGCCTGAAACTCCTGCCAGTTCTCCTTGCCTGGTTACCTCTTCAGATTTTCATTTCACTTCCTCGAGGAAACATTTCTTGACTTCTTGTGCCACATGAATTTCCTGTTTTACATTTTCATAGTGCTTTACAGCTTTCCTTTATAGCACTGAATGAAAAAACAAATCAATATTTTCTTTTGTTTGATACCTTGATTAATATTTTTCTTTCCTATTAATCCGTAAGTTCCTGAGAGAGGAGACTACATCTATTTTTGGTTACCCATTAGCCCCCCAGGACAGGTTATATGAGCAAGCAATGTTCAGTAGTAAATATTTGTAAAATAAATGAAAAAATGATGTCAGGTACGTTTCCCATGAAAGACTATATTGTTTTGCTTAAAAAAAAAAAAGACTCAGCAGGCAATCAGTCATGTAAAATGCAGTTCCAGCTATGACTGTTTAAAAAGTTGACTCAAATTGTTATAAGGATGTGGAGTTTTGCAGAAAGTGCGTTTATACTTCTTACCTTTAGTTTTAAAGAGTTCAGCTTCTCCTCCCTGAGGTGCTCCCTCAGCATCTCCCTGTGCAGCCTCTCCTGCTCCCTGGCAAACTCGCCAAGGGTGTACTGGCGCACGCTGTTGTGGCGGCTGGACATCCCCAGGGTGCTGCCCCCTTGGCTGGGCACGCTTGTGAAGCCTTGCCTCCGGGTGAAGTAGTACACGGTGACACAACTAAAATGCACATTCTTGGTCCTCAGCCGCTTCTCCCTTTTGAGAATGGAGGAAGCTGGAAGGAAAAGAAAAAAATCCGGTCAACACCAAGGGTAGCGGTCCTCAGATGAGGTTAAGAAAATACCCCTTGGTCTTGAGTCTATGTGTGCTCAACACTTCTGGGCCCTTAAAGATTCTAAAACTCTTGTATCCCAGAGTTGAAGGAAAGACCTTTTAATTTCCTTTCGTATACTTTTTTATAGCTATGGCAGGGTAGACTTTTAAGTGTTTCTATAAGGGCAATCCAAGCAAACTTTCAAACTTGCCTATATATTTGTGGATTAGTGACCGAACTTAATTTCTCACTTCCCCTAATTCCTTGTAATTTGGTTTTATGATTTTTACACAAGTTGTATTGTATGATAATAAGGATAGACATAATACAAACTTCCATACCTTTAATCTCATTTCCAGAAAATGATGTTCGGCATTAAAAAAATTTGGCTAATTACCAAAATATAGTTACATGAGAGGAATAAGTTCTAATGTTCAACAGCATAGTACAGTGATTATTGTTGACAACAACAATATATTTTCTACAGAACTAGCAGAAAGAAGTTGGAAATTTCCCAAGGCAAGGAAATGATAAATGCTTAAGGAGATTAAAAATGTTAATTACCATAATGTGAAAATTCACACATTGTATGCATGTATTGAAAACTCACACTGCATTCCATAAATATGATCAATCATTATGTGTAAATATATAGTGCTTGCAATACTTAAAAAAAGAAAATTCTAAAAATCAATAAAAATTCACAAAATGACTCACTGTTACTACTTAGATATACTAATAACCTAAACTAACAAAACTTTGATTTCACAAAATAACATCCCATTAAACAGCATTATAGAAAATGGGATTTTAATCCAAGAACTGAGAAAATTGCAAATGTCACAAGATATTTCAGAACTCTTATATTTTTTATCTTTTATTCTTTAAATAACAAAAATTACATCTATTTATGGTGTGCAACAATGGTGTTCTGATATATGTGCACATTGTAGAATGGCTAAATCAAGCTAATGAACATATCCATTAACTTCCATACTTTTTTTGTGTGTGGTAAGAATCAGAACCTTTATCATTAGTCACAAGAATAGCAAAATACACAGAATATACAGAGCATCAATGAGAGTTGAGATACACAGTACAGTTGAAAAACAGTCATATTATCCACATAACCTTTGGAATTGGAAAACATGGTAGACATTAACGGGCCCACTACTTTTATTTTATAGTGAAATAACCCAGGCTAGGGCCTTTGAGTGACTTCTTTTTATAATTTGTTTCAGAATTAAACTCCAAAGTTCCAAATCTGGTGCCATATTATCAGAGACTTTCCCATATTTAATTAAGAATAAAATCATGCTATAATGGGCTGATTCTCCCTCCCTCTTTCCTCCCATATGTTCAAGTCCTAAACCCCAGTACCTCCGGATGTAATCTCCTTAGGAAACAGGCCTTTAAGGTGAAACTGAGTTAAAATGGGGTCATTTGGGTAAACACTCAGCCAGTATGACTGGTGGCCTTATGAAAAGGTAAAATACGGACACAGTTGTGGAGAGAGGGAAGATGATATGAAGGGACACAGAAAGAATGTCATTAGGAGAGGGACACAGAGCTGCCATAAGACAAGGAGTGTCTGTAGCTACCAGAAGCTAGACTATGAAAGGGAAAGCCCTTCCCTTTCAGGTTTCAGAGAGAGCATGACCACCCTGCTAATATGATCATTTTGGTTTTCCAGCCTCCAGAATTGTGAGAAAAGACTTTTCTTTATTTTAAGCCACTCAGTTTGTGGTACAGTTTTAATGGCAGCCTCAGGAAACTAATACCCGTGCTCAAGCGGAAAAACAGAAAGAAGCCAGGAACTGAGAAGCAATTCCTGGATGCCAAAGTAATTAATACATTAACATTTATGGAGTACTTCTCATGTGTTTTACCATGCAAAGACTTTACATGAATTGTTTCACTTTATCCTTACAACTCTTTGAGTTGATATTTTTTATGGTTGCATTTTTAGGACATTAAATCACTAAAAGTTGAATAATATGGCCAAGGTTATTTAGTGGTGAATTTGGGATTCGCTAGCCCAGAGCCCAGGCATAGGTCACAGGCACCAAGTCACTGTGAGATTTGAAGCCACTCTACTGTTGATTAGTAGATGGATACCTGGCTGCATATCGACTCTGGTAGATACTACCTGCTGCTGATTTCAAAGATGACCTTGATTTAGACAGTGTATAAGCAGTGGAATAAAAGTCACTACAATATCACTTAGAATTTACCTAAGAATATTCTTTCAAGCAGCTACAATTTCCTTTGTCTCATTTTCGAACCATAACAATCAAGGCAAATATAAGGGAGGTTACTATGATTAATCTCATTTTGTGGATTTGTTAATTCAATAAATATAAATTGAGCATCTACCATGTGTCAGATCCTTTCTAGATGGTTGGAATACATTGCTAAAAAAAATCAGGTAGAGATGCCTTCCTGCCTGTAGCTCCCACTCCAGGAATGAGAAACTCAGAATGCAGAGACTCAGCAGATTAGAATAGAATTGTGACATTAGCATAAAAATTCAGCTCTCCTAACATTCTCTCCTTTTCTACTGTTTGAGTTCCCCAGAAGAAATCGACAGAAAACAAATGCTTTCAAATATGTACATAATTTATCCATTCATTTGTGTATATATTCATTATAAAATACTTACACTACTGGCAGCACAATTTTTGAATTTGATTTAAAAGCTCCGGTCTGCTTCATAACTGTGTTTAAGTCATGTTGAAACAGAGAAGAATTTGTCAAAATGTAAAAAGATCACTACAGGAAGCAAAATTCAACAATCTGTCCAGTAATCTGACATCAGATCTGACAACCTCATCTGTCACTAATGTACAGGAGGCTAAGAAGAGCCTCTGGTGTTTAGGTGATAACCTTCCATCTTTGTTGTTCTTGATATCATAAAAAGGATGGCCTTAAGCCATTATCTTTCAAAGCCATAAATGTACAGATAAAGAAACAGGTTTTAACGCTCTCACTTAAAACAGTTATTTTTAAACATCTCTGATGATATTATTACTTATTGTTTAGACCATTGGTGGACATTGTAGACAAATTTATTTTTAAATAATTTAATAAGATCTATATGTTTACTTTTATATTATAAGAATTCTTCATCCTTTTGCATAAGTACCTCTACCCTATCCCCAAATGTCAAATGATCCTTTCCCCAAAAGCCAGAATGCAGAGGTGATTCTCTGAGTCTTTGAGGATGACAGTAGTGGCAGAAAGCAGGAGCCCTTTAGCTGCTTCCTTGGCAAGGCTTACATTACTGAAGTGTATAGGAATAGGGCTTCCTCCGATCTGCTAAGATTTAGCATTCAAACATGCTTCTCTGTGCTAATTTTAACATTTGCATATTATAAATAACACTGTAAAAACAATGATCCCAAAGACTATGGAATATATTCAAAGAAGAGGTTTTCCAAAACTATAAAATCAGCCTAACTGAGGGTACTTAAAGTGTGGCTTTCTTGAACTTAGGAGCCACCCCCAACTCCCACAGCTCTCCCCTGATGATTGAATCAGATCACTGGAATGGGACATTCTGAGATATCTCTTGCCTCCAGGCTCCACTTTGACTAACATCACAAAATGAAGTCACACACACAAAAAAAGAGTCTGTGTTCTTCAAGCCTGGGAAAAATAGACTGAATTCACTCAGCACATCTGCCTTAGGGAATCTGAAACCTCCCTGATAGAATACCTACCTAGTAATTTATGCCCTTTACAGAATGAATGAACTCTAATTTGTGTATCTATAAAGTTCAGTGTTAGCTTTACTACTGTGAGGTCAAGAGAAAGAAAAAAAAAAGAGAATATGGCTTTTATTACTGCTTTGAAAAATAATTAGTGTTTCATATTCTATACCAATTTTTAAGTGCCTTTCAATTCCTTTTCTTTCAATGGAACCATAGTTACCACTGAAGAAAAAGAGTCTAGGTGCAAAGGTACTATACATATTGCCTGGACACAGCTCTTAGGAACAACCACATGGTCAGCACATCAGGGCATACTGATGTTAATATAAAATGATCACCTATTATAGAGGTAATATTGATCTTTGCAATAAAGGAATAAATGACAAAGTTATTCCTATTAGCTATCTGCAAAAACTATTTATTCTAATAAATGCTTGAAAAATGAATGGATAAAAGATTTGCAAAATGGACTAATTCACAGTGCCAGGATAAGAATGTAGCAAAATAAGGTACAGTGATCCATACTATAAATTATACAAGGAAAGGATTCTTGAACAGAGTGGATGACAAATCTGCAAACCGAAAAATAGGAATTGCACAATACTTCTAGTACCACCCAAGAAAGCAAGCACTCTGAAGAGACACATGTTCTACATATTCTGATCCCATACAGAAGATGAGTACACCAAGGTGTCAAAGTTGAATACTAGCTTCTAAGAAACTACAACCAACTTCGTTCCATTTTCACATTCATAAACCACTTGTTCATAAAGGTTGGAAGACATCTTTGATTCTACAAGATTCTCTTAAAATAAGATTTTCTTATTGAAAATAATCAAAATTTCTTTCTGATTTATACCTCAGTCATTTGTGAACATCATTCATATGTATGATTCTACTGAGCTTGGTGATCTCTGCATGCCCAGTGACATTCACGTATCTGGGCCTGTAAAACTGAAGACCAGATTCTCTAACACTAATCCCACCATACAGCAGCCAATCTGGAGCAAGTGTTTGAGCAGCAAGCTGAGCACCCTCTGTAGACACACTTACTCTCATCAGTATCAACAACTATCAGTAAAAGTCCTGTTAGAGATGGAAAAGAAGAAATTAGTAGAACAAAGCTATGTATTTTGATACTGAATTTGGCACATGGAGGTTGAAAGCTCATGTCAAACAACCAAAGAATGGTGAAAATTTTCAATTTTACTATTTGGGTCAAAAATCAATTAAAAAACAAAACAAAAC